GGAATCCCAGAATGGTTTGGGTTGGAAGGGACCTTAAAGATTATCTCGTTCCCACCTCCTGTCATGGGCAGGGACACCTTCCACTAGACCAGGTTGCTCCAAGCCCCGTCCAGCCTGGCCTTGGACACTTCCAGGGATCCAGGGGCAGCCACAGCTTCTCTGGGCAACCTGTGCCAGGGCCTCACCACCCTCACAGCCAAAAATTCCTTCCCAATATCCCATCTAACCCTGCCCTCTGGCAGTGGGAAGCCATTCCCTCTTGTCCTCTCACTCCATGCCCTTGTCCAAAGTCTCTCTCCAGATCTCTTGTAAGCCCCACTTACGCACTGGAAGGACGCAAAGGGAGTTCTGGACTCAGAGGAAGTTCTCACCCTTATTTTCAAGGGACCAAATAGCACAAAGAAAACCAGTCTAGAAGCCCAGTGCCACCTCCAGAGTTCCCTTCTCAAGGATTCTGTCACAGCTGACTTTAAAATGAGCATTATTGCCCTGCAAATAGAGCTGCCAGGTGGAGGACATTTTCTGCAGTACCCAAGCCTTTCCTCCTTCTTTTCCATAGGAAAAATGCACAGCTCAGCTCACCCAATAAACAGCAAACCAAAGGGAGCCCTTCCTCCATTAACTTTTCTTCCCACATTTACACAATCCATGCACTGCCATGCTTCAGAACTGGAAAGAAGTTTTCTTGCAAATAATCACCAGAAGTGAAGCAGAGAAGCAGGCAACAGTGCTAACCTGGCAGCTGACTGCACTGGGGAATGGCAATTCCCAGAGGGAAAGCTCACCTCAGCAGTCCCCAGCTTTGCTGGCACTGCCTGAAAAAGGTTGGCATCTTGGAGCTTGATAATTTGGTATTAATCATGTTCTTGTCCTGTAGAGTCACCATCAAAATCAAACAGCAACACCGAGAGGAACAGGAAATGCTGAATTAAGGTAACACTTCCCCCCTACAAACCACCACTCCAAACTAATCCTGTCCCTGAGCTGTGCCAATCCTTGGAAATGAGGTTTCTCAGGCTGTTTGAAGTCTGGAGCAGCCAGCTCCAAAGTGAGGAGTAAGTGCATGGCTTCCAGCCACTCTTGCAGTGCCTCCCTGCCAACTCCATCCTCCCCAGATGCAGGTTCACGAGGCACAACAGAATCTGGGGGCAAAGTGGAACAGATGCAGGGAAGGGTTTCTCCTGCTTTGAGGTTTCAGCAGGAATGCTCCAGACAGCTTTGGGGAGGGCTGATGGGAACAGGCAGAGCTCAGCACCTGCCCTCACCGTGTCATGGAGACAAGGCCAAACTTTCACCATGTGCAGCCTTGGCTTTTAAAGCCACAGAACCCTTTCTAAGAGATTCATAAAATCATAGAGTTGTTTGAATTACTGAAAAATAGAGGGACTAGGGTTTTTTTTTTCATTTTATTTTTATGTAGTGCTTCAATTGGTTCGGTTATTTGTTTCATTACAGGAGATCAAAAATAATTCTGATGTTCACAATGAGCAGTAAAGGCCACTGAAATATGTTGGAGTAAGTTTAAAAGCAGGTGGTTACCTTATTAAGTGTTAAATATTCAGAGCTGAAATATGAGTCTGTTTCCATCTAGGGCATGCAGTAAATGGCTTCCACATATGCATAACAGCCCATTAGCACAATAAAAAAAATTAGTTACCCAGTTGAAATTAGAAAAAATAGGTACTAAATGTAAATTTCAAAGGATCAGTTTTATTTTAAGAGCCGTTGTTCCAGCTGGATAGTCATGGACTCCCTAATCTAAACAAATGCAGCACAATGGAAATTATTCTTTGGAATCCTTTAACCCACAGAGTATTTGTGGGAGGGTGAGGGGGGTGAGGGGACAGAGAGGTTTGGACTCATCAGATGAATGACAAAGAACCTGCAAATTTTCATTTCCTGAAGAGTTTGGGGATTCCATGGGCAGAAAAGCAGCTTTCCAGGGCAAGGTACCTCCTCGAGTCTGCAACACCAGTAGAATTCACTCCTCTCAACATTTTGATGGCACTGTAGCAGGTCTCACCTCTGCACGAAGTTACCCACTGCAAAATTAATTTGCTGAACTTTAACTGACTCCTTTGGAGTGAAATATTCACTGGCAGGTGGGCTCTAAAGGGACAAGTATCCAAGCTTAATAAACACGCAGTCTATCAGCTTGTGTGTGTTTTAATAACCGTCACAATTTTGTAGGTATTCGAAAAACCCCAAAATAATTTTATTTTTACAACAACCTGTGGCAAGGCAGATCGGGAACAGGGCAGCCTAACACTAAACTAAATGCCCATAAACTTTTAGCCATATATGCAAAAAAATAAAATTGCACAATAAAAAGAGTTTAGCAGTCCCCGTGCCCACGTTTCAGCTGAAGGGAACTGTTTCAGTCACATGTGCTTTTTCTCCTGAGAGTTGTGTTTGGTATTTTACACTCAACTCTGGCACTATTTTTCACTTGTTAATTGGAGACCACAATCACTTCTGCAGCGTTTTGCTCTGCTTTCTGTATTCGTGATCTGCACTCAACTGTCAAATATTTAAAGCCCAAAGCTTTCCTGACAAGGGAACAGCATCTGTCCCAGCTCTCCCCAGAGCTGACCTTCCACAGAGTGAGTCCTGGATTCCATCTGTAGCAAATGGGTCGTTACTGGAAAGACAAAACCCAATTCTACAACCTGAGCATGAGAACAAGACTCCCCAGTAACAGTGTCGTGTCTGTTCACACCAGGGTAGAGCTCAGCAGTCAGATTTATCAAAACCTGTGCATTTTGTACTCAAAGGGAGACATTTTAGAAATAAATGCAAATCTTCTTCGACATTAGGTTTCTGGTTAATTAGGGGCTACCCCCAGCCTTGTCACACAATATAAAATCTGTTGTGTGGTATAAAACTTCCCTGTCGAGATTGTTATCGTGGACATTGTTAAAACAAACATTAGTTACCACCATGGCAGGACTGTGGGATCTCTCTCAGATACACACACACACATATGTACATAGATGTATGTGCATTGTAGTCATCCTCGTGTCTCAGCAACTAAACTCCAATTTTAAATAGCACCTTCATAGTTACAGTAAGAACCCTTTGTAGTGTTTATCACTGGGGAGGAGATTGAGTCACCAAGGCTTTGCCAAACCATGTCTGGCTGCTCCAGCCATTCCAGTAAGCACCTCCTCGAAAGTTTCCATGAACAAATCTCACTTGCATCCTGTATCTCTGGTAAAAGCACATTCCTGCACCACCCCTCCTGCCACTTAAGCACCCACAAAGATCACAAAATGTTCCTAAACTGGACACTTTCCTACATGACACTTGGGGACGTGGGTTAGTGCTTGGCACTGCTGGGTTAAGGGCTGGACTCGATGATCTTAGAGGGCTTTTCCAGCCTAAATGATTCCACGATTCCATACCCTCCAGGAATCTGCCCGGCTTTGGTTTTAGCTTCACCTTGTCGTTTCCCAGGTAGCTGTTCCTCCCACAGGAGGCAGGGACATCTAGCGACCAAAAAAAGACATTGCAAATAAATACCCATCGCATCTATTTCCTACACTGTTTAGTTAAAATCAAACCTATTTCGTTGCAGTGGTTGGTGCTGAGCTATTTTCTAGCCATTAAATTAGCCAATACCGTGTCCACTCACCCACCATCTTCACTTGGTTTAACCCTCATCAGGAAAAAGCAGGGCAATTAATTTATTTTTTAATTTCAATCCAGAAAAGTATTTTAATTCCTTGAAGTAAGATCTCAACAGAAAAAGCTGCCTACCAAAAAATTTTCTCCTTTGCACCGAACAACAGCAATTCTGAAGTCATTAAGAGGACATTCACAAGTCTTGTTTCATTACACATTTCTTCTGCTCCAAATAAGACAAAAAGCAACATCCTTCATCACTATCAACTTTCTTTTCCCCCCCCACATCTATAAATGCTCTCATGGAAAAGGCCCTGGTAAGTAAACCCATATTTCTGACCTGCTGCATGTCTAACATTTCTTCTTTAATAACTCCATGAGCATGGCAGGCTCTTCCTATTAACTCCATTACATCATCATTATCAAAGACGAAAGGAAATTAATTTTGTTTTCCAAAGACTTGGCAATAAGTCGGGTCTTTACTTCATCAGACATCTGCTGTTTTTCTACGTGTGTCATTTGTGAAGCAGAGTTTTCCCCATGACTTTATTCTCCTCACAGTTTATCCTGCCACACTGTTTACCAGGGAAGTAAAGCGGGGCAGGATTTCTCATTTGCCCTGTAAAAGTGTAAAGCCAACGGCATAATCTCGATTTCAGCTTCAAATGCTTTTTTTCTGGTTTAAAATAAAGCCCAGCAAAGACCTTCATGCAAAAATAACCTCTCATGGTCTTGGCCTGAAATTTATTACTCGTGCTGCAGGACTTTGTTTTCACAGATGGGACTTTATCAGCAAATTATATGGGCAGGCCACCAACTTCCCTCAGGAATGGAGGAGTGCTGGTATTTACTCGGGCTCTTATCTCTGCACTTAAAGCCACATTCTAACCACAAACTTCTATTTTCATTTATTGATAGAAAAGACAAAACACAGAGAATCCTCTGTTCTAAAACCCTCCTCATCCCCAAGCCCTGTGTCCCCCACGTACGTGATCAGAAGCTGCTGTCAGATATTTTACACGAGGAAAACTTCCCCTCTTTTCTTTTTTTCAAGTGGAATGGACTTGATAATGTGTTTCCACGTTCCCCACGTAACTCCATTAACACTGTGCAAAAGTTGGACAATTTAGCTCACTTTTCCAAATATTTACTTTGTTAAACAGTTTGTTGTGGTTTGCCTGGAGTTTTTCCTCTACTTAACTCCACTGTAATTTACCCTGTAATTAATATTCTAAAAGAGAACTCTGCTCATGGCAAGTCCTTCTAAACTACAGCACGTTGGGAATTGGAAGGTTTAGTGAATGTATCCGGCGAGGAGTGGCCCCAATTCCACCCCTTATCCTACCCCAGAAGGGCTCAAAAAAAAATAAATAAACCTGTTCTGAGCAGGACCACCAGGGTCAGAAAGGAGGGAATCTGAGCCCCCACGGGCAGCCTGGCTCCCACCTGCTCCATGTGGATGCTCCGTGTAACCTGTGTGGATACAAAAGAGGCAGGTGAGGGAGGAAAACTAAATAAATAATAACTCCAGGGAAAGGAAGAAATAGTGATAAGCACAGAGTGGCAGGGCAGCTGCCAGCTGCTATGTCCCATTACAGAACCTGATATTGATTCTTGCTGCTAATCAAGATCTAAAGTGCAATATATAATTTATTTCTGAATTGCACACACCATCCTAGAATAGACTCTTTTTGAAGGAATTTTGAAAAAGTGCATTCTTTACCTGATGAGACTCCACTCAGCAGTGCACTCAGATGGAACTCTGACAAATACAGCACACAGCTTATTTTAAGGTTTTCCTACTGAAACACTGTTTCACGGCACTTTGAATTAACAGGAAGGATGCCAAGTCATTTATTTCAAATGGGAAAGAAAATTTTAATAGAAAACCGTGTAAAGACTTGCAAAAAAACCCACTGAAACATTTTAAGTGTTTTGTTCCAAATTATTGAAAACATCATTAAAAGTGAATGCTGCTTTCCTGTTCAGTGTAATTCTTTCAATGTAGTTTTATTTGTTTGTTATATTTGTTATAGGATCCTATTTGTTATAGGATCCATACTTCAGGACCTGATCCTGTAATGACTCCCATGGAACTGTCTCATGGAACCCCCCTAGGAATATTAGAGCAATGCCTCTAAGACTGATCATTCAGCCAGGTGAGGTTCTTTGTTAGCAGAGAGATTCTAAGTTAATTGTCAACTATAAAATTCAGAATCCAGCTCAGAAACAACCTACATCATTCTGAGATACAGTTAAACCCAATTTGTCTCGGTTTTTACTCCTGTGACTTGATCATCCTATTCATCAACCACAAATACAAAGCCCTGCTAAGCAATGAGAGACCTTTGTTGTACTCAGTGGGTCTTGGATCCGATCTTGATGGCCAAATTCTGCTTTTTTTATCCCCAGAATGAACAGCTTCTACTCCATGGGGAACTCCCCCAAAAATGTGGTGTTACTGCAAGAAATGGTAAAGGAATTGAACCTCAGGGAATAACTTCACAATACTCTCCTAGCAAAGAAAGTTTGAAAACTCATTACAAAAGCGAGAGGATTTGTAAAGCAACACTGAAAATCTGGTCACGGTTCTGGCCCCACAATCTGTATCTGAATTTCAAATACTCCAGAGTTTGCAGAGAGAGATATAAACCAAATGGTGTGGTATGGACCACCGTAAGGATAAGGGCTATTTTCTAAATAATCACTAAAATCATGCTCAGAGGCAATAAACAATTGCCAGAGCTCTCGTGTGAGAGCAGTTAAGTAAAGGCAAATTCCAAGGTATTTTAGCCGAATATTGCATTCAAATTCTGACATACAAGGATAGGAACTCATGTGAAATGTGGACCTGGATTTCAATTTGAAACTCCTTGCCATTAAGGTTCGGGGTATGTTTGGGTCACGCAGCTCAATGTGGGTTTAGATCTCTACAGGATATCGGGTTTTTTTAAAGATACTTTTCATTTTCAGATGTGACGGTTAAAAAAATCCCGGGTACAATAAACCATTGGACTTGGGGGAGAAAAAAAAAAAAGTTGAGCTATAAACTGAAACCGAAGTAGCTCAACTTGGGAGTGTCCCAGCTGCAGAAAACTCTTAATTTTAAAACATTTTGATTGATCCTCAATCTCTTCGAATTACACTGCAGTGAGGGCTGTGCACCCTTCTGAAATCGGGCTATGCCTCAATTACTTCATCTGTGGATAAATTTCATTGTTATTTGAAACATGTGCAAAAGGCAGATACCAGTATACCCTAAAATTGATTAAATATCTACCTCATTAAAGTACAAACCCTAAAGTATAAGAGGCCCTGCTAGGAGGGTTCACTTTGCATTAAGAATGCTAAACCTTGCCAGGGAAATACTATTCTGGATCAATCCAGTTCAGCTGGACACTTACAGCACCACCTCCCTCATTTAGGGTTTTCACAGAGTTTCTACTGACAGTGAACACAAAGTGGCTCACCTGGTTCACTCAGGGTATCCAAAGGTGGAAGGCAAACAGGAGCCCTCCTCAGGTAAAATCTCAAAGTTTCATCCCACGAGCTGACATTTTTTTCGAGCACCAAATCTGGATCGGAGTTATTTCAGGACGTTTTATGAATTCAAAAGCGACTCGAGGAAACGTGAAACCTGGCAGGCTGTTAGTCCATTCTGGGGGACTATTACCTTCCAGACAATTATTTTCAACATCCAGTTCTGAGGTTTGGAAAACCCTTGTACCACTTCCCGTGAGGATTCACGGTCTGTTGGCCAAATGTGTCCCTGCCTTGCGATGCAACACGCTGCATTTGCTGCCCTTGACACAATACACCACTGAGCACTTACAGACAGGAGGAAAACTTCATACCTTTGTTCTGAGACACTGCTCAAAAAAGAGCAATAACTAGTTTTAGAATACAGAAAAAAACTTATATAAACACAAAACTGTCAGGAAAGATGTAGGTAGAGCGAGTCCCACCTTGGCCAGGAAGCAAGTAGGTGAGTAGTATTCAGACATTCTGGCTGTATGGAATAATTTTTCCTGTCCTTCTACTACAAGATTTGAGGTCCTCAAATAGCAGGAATGGCAATTCCTGGAGGGGGAGTTCTCTCTGTTTTCCATGCATTCAGGAAAGCCTCCCAGCATACCCTTGGAAAAAACAGAGTCATGGATGTGTGCTGGATCAGTTTGAACAGGCTGTTCCTAGTTGCCCCCTTCTTTTCAGAGGGATAATTGGGAAGATGGAGACAACAAGCCAGAGGAATTGCTCCAGAGGTGGTAGTCTACACTTCACTGATATTCTTCACAGGAGCTCACAGCTGGCACCATGCACCTTGTGGAACACAAGTCCAGGAACCCTCCAAGGAAAACAGGAGTCGTGATCTCAGGTTTCCATCACCCAAACAACTCCAGAAGCCAACAGTCCGAGCTTTACAAGTTTCTTCCAAGAAAGAAGGAGCAGGTTGCAAACTGGTTTAACCCTCTGGGTGTGCACTGTGCAGTCTGCGGGTCAAGAACCTCTCCAGGTGTCTCTCAGCCCTGCTTTGCTCCCAAGTTCTGGGAGAAGCAGTTCAGCTCCACGTTGCTGCTGCTCCGAGCCGTGTCCACAAGGTGTAGACCAGCCCTGCAGCTAAGCCAGGAATTTGAACAGGATGAGTTACAGAGTTGTATCAGGTTTAAATCAATCCCTTTTCAGCAGAGCACTTATGTCTGTGATTACCTTTAAAGCTGCACGTTCCTCATTAAGTCGGTGGGGTTAAGTAGGGCCTTAATGATATAAGAACCATCAGAATATGTTTCACTATTTTACAGATGGCAGCTCTGAGCCAGGACCCTCATTAGTGTTCCTGCTGCACTGACAGAGGGGCTGCTCCCTTGTACTACAAGGGAAATGGGATGTGGGCTTTCATATTATTTCAACCATTAAATCCAAATGCAGTTTCCAGAAGAAAGCCACTCAAATCCACACGGACATCACAGCTACGTTGCTGCACATCCCATCTCCTGAGCTCCGCAGGGAAATGTCTTCTGAGCGTGGAAGTGGCTGTTCCCATCCCTGCAGGGCAAGATGCGAAACCTGCACTGCTGGAGGATCCTTGGAAACCTGGCACGAGGTTTGTTTTGCAAAGTGCTGCTGTGAACAATTTGTCACCGACTCCCAGTGTGACAGACAAGCCCCTTTAGGCTCATTCGGATGAAGATCGGGAATGCTTCACTGGAGCTAAGGATGGAATACAGGCTTCAAAGGCATCACTTTTACTCATGACATCCAAAAAGTGTGTTAAAATGCCAAGAATCCAAAAGTTAGGAAACGCCACAAACGTTGTACAGCCCTTTTCTGAGGGCACTCCACGATCCAGGTGTCCATTATGGGATCACACACAATTTTTTCCCACTAAACCAGCACCTCTCTCGTTGTGAGGCGAGGGATGGCTTGAGGAAAGAATTGGGGTTGTCTAGGACAAGTAGAGACCTCACTTATTCCAAAAACAAGCAGTTATTCAATGCTTCTTCTGTTCTTCCCTTCAACACACAGCCCCAGATTTTGTCCTGTACATGGCCTTTAAACTCCACATTTAATACAGAATTATCCATTTCCTCGCAGGCATTCCTATGGTCCTACTGGAAGAGCACCCAAGCCACATCAGGTAAAAAGTTTGTCTTCACAACAGATGTGAGAACAGAATTAGTACCTTCCACTCAGATAATTCTCTATTTCCTGCTACCTCTACTTCCTACTTCCATTTTCTCCACTGAAATTCCAATCAGGTGCTTCTTCCTATTATTTGTCCTGCCTGTACTTCAGAGAAAGCACTAACAGTAAAGAAAAAGAATCACGAGATGAAAACTTCAGAGAATTTAGCTGCCAAACTCTAACGAGCCTGTACTAAACATTTGTGAACTAAAATCTTTTGAGAGCCACACAGCTTGGTCAGATTTGGGAAAATTTCCATAGGGATGCCAAGAGATCTCCATTTGATATCAGAGCAACTTCCACTCCAGATTTCAAGTGTTTGTCCAAAGCTCACAATGAGAATGGACGAACCTTTGGTTTGCTGGTGGGTTGTTAATTTGAGTTAAACACTGTTTTTTATTAATGCATTTCTAGTAGAGTGAGTGGAGTGTTGTTAATTAAAAACAGTTAAAAATTTGCAACAGAGATATGTGCAATATGTACTTGAAGCCTTTAGGTTCTTCTGGGGATACCAACTGGGATTTAAAATAAAAATTTAGGAATGAGGTTTCTTGAATGTAAGGTAAATGATAGGGAACAGCAGCCTAACGTAGGTTAGGTCAGTTGACCTGGAAAAGAAAGTGGAATATCAGTGTAAAACACTCTCACCCCAACACAAGGGTGCTGTTCACAGGCTGAAGGATCCTGTTACCTGCAGGCACTGCCCAGAAAGGTTCTTCCCTTTGGGCACCTCCCAGGTGTGCAATTTCTGTGGAGCACCAACGAGATCCAACAACCACTTCCTGGCAGCT